TGAATAAGCAGTGTTGTTGTTGTTGCTTATTTATCAAAGCGTGAAAAAACAAGTAAGAGTGCTATACCAAGAAACAGAAACAACCCTGCCAACAATTTCTATCCAAATTGTAACCATAACGTTACAGCTTAATGTTTAAAACAATCTAATTTGATATAATCTGAGTGAATGAAAAGTGACCCCGTTCGGAAGAAACTGTTCCGCCTGTTTAATACTGACTTGATGTGCCCATTTCGTTTCAGTTTCAAGTCACTTTTTTATAACATAAAATTTCCTAAATGTAGTAAATTTCCAGTTTTGCCATAACAATAGAGAAGCTGGAAAGTGTTATGATTTTATACTCTTTTATGTTATAAAAGCGACTTTATAATAATTTTTTTTTATTTCTTCTTTATTATACTGTTTTGCACTCACTAATCTCTCACTGATGCTTATTTTATATTAAACTATGTTTTAGATATATTAAATTTTAAATTAACACAATTTATTACAAAATCTAAATTTCACAATATATCACACAACTGATCACAATGAAATAAATATATTTACTGAAATGTGAAAATACTTTTCCTTCTGAATTTTGAGAGCAAGAATGATTCTGCATTAAACTATCTTCTTAGTGTATTAAAAAGTGTTAGTTTTTGAAATTTTTATTCTATCTACTTATTATCATTTAATCTTGCTTTTGGTATATTAAAACGCACTAAAATTTAACAAAATTATGATCAAAATTAGAAAGTACTGTATTTTGTTTTTGTAATTTTTTTAACTTAGCACTAAGAAACATAAAATTGAGCCTTTATAGTGACTATTCAGTTCATGTATCCAAAATTAAACTCAAATTTGCTGGCAGGGAATATACACAAGGCAATGAAACACACAACCATCCAAACATACGAAACTGAATATACCAGGAAACAAAAACAACATACACATGGCAATGAAACACACAGCCATTCAAACATACGAAACGAAATAATCAAAAAACAAGTAAGAAATTATAGTCGGGCGTGGCCGACCATATGATACCCTACACCAGTTATGAATATTAAATGTGATTTATTTTTCATAATAAAGCATTTATCTTCAATATTCCCTTATTCCGATACATTTAAGCAATTTATGGATGAAAAACTAATTTTCTGAAAGAGGCTTTATATGGGGGCTAGGGGCAAATATGGACCAAGCCCGATAAAATTTTGTGAATATATTTATATTGACATAATATTTTAAAGTGCTGAATTTCATCGCGATATTTGTGTTTATAAGCTAATTTGGGACATTCAAGTAATTTTCTGAAGGGGACTTTGTATGGGAGCTAGGGTCAAATGTGGCCCGATCTTTATGAAATTTGGCAGGTTCATCAAGACTTCTATAAAACTTAGTTGTGCCGTATTTTATCGATATATCTGTATATTTAACATAATTATGAGCTCAGAAACCCTTTTCGGGGGGTTCTGTTGTATGGGGGCTAGGTGAAATAATGGACCGATTTTAACCATTTTCAATAGGCTTCGTCCTTAGGTCAAATAAAACGTGCGTGCCAAATTTCATCCAATTATCTTGAAAATTGCGACCTGTACCTTGCGCACAAGGTTTACATGGACAGCCAGCCAGCCAGCCAGCCAGACGGACGGACGGACGGACGGACGGACATAGCTTAATCGACTCAGAAAACGATTCTAAGCCGATTGGTATACTTTAAGGTGGGTCTAGGACGAATATTTTTGTATGTTACAAACATCAGCACAAATCCAATATACCCTCCCCACTAAAGTGGTGTAGGGTATAAACAAAAACAAAATACACAACGCAATGAATAAGCAGTGTTGTTGCTTATTTATCAAAGCATGAAAAAATTGTCTTTTTTAAAAATTTTCAGAGGTTGTCTCGGGTTTTTACTTATATCTCCGTTGTTGCATGTCTGATAGAATTATTGAAGATTTGGATCCAGAAGATATGTGGGGTCTTCAGAAAACTGATTTCAACAGACAGACAGACGGACATGGCTTAATCGACTCCGCTAGGGTCGGAAAGTTATATTTCGGAAATTACAAACGGAATGACAAACTTATGTATACCCTTCTCACGAAGGTGAAGGTTATAATTAAACCTTCTTCAATGTCAAAAAATATAAGTGTAATAGCCCATTTACACCACTATGAAATCTAGCATTTATGAGATTTCGAGCCAAATCTATTTGATTTTAACTAGATTTCCCATACCAAACAAAATATACTTCGTAAGTAGATTTCGGCAAAATCTTCTCAAAATCTAATTGGTTGCAACTCTGTTTTTTCTTAACTAATACTAAAAAATACGACGCTGCAACTTCCATAATTCAAATAAAACATCGACTTTCGACGTTTTGCAGTATGTGCATGAAAAGTCGACTCTTCGACTTTTACAATTTTAAGTTATCGACTTTCCACCTTCCCAAGTATCTAGTCGGTAGATATATTGCACGGAAGGATTTTTTAATCCTTAATATTTTAATCCATATTACAAGGAGTATTTTGCGCGACACTCGCTAGATCCTATACAGTTCACCAGCAACAATTTTACTGACCATTTTGGAGGAATCTAATTTTCCAAGGATCTACTCTACCGACTTTTTTCTAGGAAGGATTTTTTAATCCTTACCATGTCTCCTACCATATTTCAAGGAGTTTTTGGCGCGACACTCCTTAGATCCTATACAGTTTACCAGCAACGATTTTACTGACTATTTTGGAGGAAGCCAATTTTCCAAGGATCTGCTCTACCGATTTTTTGCACGGAAGGATTTTTTAATCCTTACCATGTCTCCTACCATATTTCAAGGAGTTTTTGGCGCGACACTCCTTAGATCCTATACAGTTTACCAGCAACGATTTTACTGACTATTTTGGAGGAAGCCAATTTTCCAAGGATCTACTCTACCGATTTTTTGCACGGAAGGATTTTTTCAATCCTTACCATGTCTCCTACCATAATCCAAGGTGTTTTTGGCGCGACACTCGCTAGATCCTATATAGTTCACCAGCAACGATTTTACTGACCATTTTGGAGGAAGCCAATTTTCCAAGGATCTACTCTACCGACTTTTTTCTAGGAAGGATTTTTTAATCCTTACCATGTCTCCTACCATATTCCAAGGAGTTTTTGGCGCGACACTCCTTAGATCCTATACAGTTCACCAGCAACGATTTTACTGACCATTTTGGATGAAGCCAATTTTCCAAGGATCTACTCTACCGATTTTTTGCACGGAAGGATTTTTTCAATCCTTACCATGTCTCCTACCATAATCCAAGGAGTTTTTGGCGCGACACTCGCTAGATCCTATAAAGTTCACCAGCAACGATTTTACTGACCATTTTGGATGAAGCCAATTTTCCAAGGATCTGCTCTACCGATTTTTTGCACGGAAGGATTTTTTCAATCCTTACCATGTCTCCTACCATATTCCAAGCAGTTTTTGGCGCGACACTCGCTAGATCCTATACAGTTCACCAGCAACGATTTTACTGACCATTTTGGATGAAGCCAATTTTCCAAGGATCTGCTCTACCGATTTTTTGCACGGAAGGATTTTTTCAATCCTTACCATGTCTCCTACCATATTCCAAGCAGTTTTTGGCGCGACACTCGCTAGATCCTATACAGTTCACCAGCAACGATTTTACTGACCATTTTGGATGAAGCCAATTTTCCAAGGATCTGCTCTACCGATTTTTTGCACGGAAGGATTTTTTCAATCCTTACCATGTCTCCTACCATATTCCATGGAGTTTTTGGCGCGACACTCGCTAGATCCTATACAGTTCACCAGCAACGATTTTACTGACCATTTTGGATGAAGCCAATTTTCCAAGGATCTGCTCTACCGATTTTTTGCACGGAAGGATTTTTTCAATCCTTACCATGTCTCCTACCATATTCCAAGCAGTTTTTGGCGCGACACTCGCTAGATCCTATACAGTTCACCAGCAACGATTTTACTGACCATTTTGGAGGAAGCCAATTTTCCAAGGATCTGCTCTACCGATTTTTTGCACGGAAGGATTTTTTCAATCCTTACCATGTCTCCTACCATATTCCAAAGAGTTTTTGGCGCGACACTCGCTAGATCCTATATAGTTTACCAGCAACGATTTTACTGACCATTTTGGAGGAAGCCAATTTTCCAAGGATCTGCTCTACCGATTTTTTGCACGGAAGGATTTTTTCAATCCTTACCATGTCTCCTACCATATTCCATGGAGTTTTTGGCGCGACACTCGCTAGATCCTATACAGTTCACCAGCAACGATTTTACTGACCATTTTGGATGAAGCCAATTTTCCAAGGATCTGCTCTACCGATTTTTTGCACGGAAGGATTTTTTCAATCCTTACCATGTCTCCTACCATATTCCAAGCAGTTTTTGGCGCGACACTCGCTAGATCCTATACAGTTCACCAGCAACGATTTTACTGACCATTTTGGAGGAAGCCAATTTTCCAAGGATCTGCTCTACCGATTTTTTGCACGGAAGGATTTTTTCAATCCTTACCATGTCTCCTACCAGATTCCAAGGAGTTTTTGGCGCGACACTCGCTAGATCCTATACAGTTCACCAGCAACGATTTTACTGACCATTTTGGATGAAGCCAATTTTCCAAGGATCTGCTCTACCGATTTTTTGCACGGAAGGATTTTTTCAATCCTTACCATGTCTCCTACCATAATCCAAGGAGTTTTTGGCGCGACACTCGCTAGATCCTATACAGTTCACCAGCAACGATTACAGTTCACCAGCAACGATTTTTAGAGGAATCTAATTTTACAAGGAACTATAGTTCCAAGACTATATATAGTCTCGATTCCATTTTGTGTTTCCCATCTCTTTCCATTGAGTTTTCCATGGTATTTTTTATTAGCTAAGCAATTTATTTTTCCCCTGTGGTGTTGCCACTTAATTCCCAAAATTTTCTCTGCCGTTGCTATCTTTCGTTGCTAACTGGACGGACGTTAATTTATTTCACAATTATAAATACAGCTGCTGCAATTTAATATTGTTTTGTTTATGTATTTCCAGACGAATTTATGCAAGATGAGGTCAACTTATCAGCTGGTTGTATTTTCTTTTCATATAAAAAATCTTTCTGAACCAAGATTGCCAATGTCTTATATAAAAACGAATGTTTCATATAATTAAAAGTGGCATCACAATTAAAATTCTCTAGAAATAACATGAGACAGAAATAAAATCATGAAAAAGCAATTAGAAATTCAAAAACTATACTTTGATGAAAATATTACGTTACAATATGTAATGTAAAAAGTAGAGTGTTAAAGAATGTAACAAAAATTTAATTAAATATAGATAACTGACCTCTCTTCTTGATTTTGGAACATTTTTTATGTAAAACTTCTTCATTTGTAATAATTTCAAAAAAAATAAAAATCGTGAACATACATTAATAATTCCAATATACTTGTTTAATTATATGAAAAACCGTTCATACTGAATTAAATTTTAAAAAATTAAAAAAATACATATTACTATGTATTTATATTCTAAAATGTAACACTGTTTCACACACTGTTGCATTTGAAACGTACGACATTTATCCAACTATGAATAATTCCAGCAGTAAAGAAATGTCCAGTGTTGCCAACTTAGTGCTTTTAGCACTATTTGCGGTGCTTTTTGATGTATCTAACGCGGACAATTTTTCTCATGGTGCCTTTTTTTAAAAAGGCACTATAGTGGTGCTTTTCTAATTTTATGACAGTGCATTTAGTGCTTTTTGTAATATTTTAAATCTTATTTTGTGATTTTCAGGAATTAATTAAGTAAATTAATCTTTAACATTTTCTCTATAATGTTAAGAAAACTGATAATTTTTGATCACTTTATGTGTACAACTTTTTGTTGGAACCGTTTAATAGTCCATACTCAGGGTCTAAATTTTACTTAAAAAACTGTTTTAAATTTTAGAAACCTAACATAACTCTTTGACGTAAATGGGGCACAGTTATTCCGAAGTTTGTTTTTGCATTTATTTAAATTAACTCGTTATTTTTTAAAACCTTTTTGGTGTTCTGCAAATCGAATTTTTATTTGAACGCAAAATTCAGAAAAATAAACATATTTAAATGAAAAAGAGTTTAAAATTCCCATAGCATTTATATTTAGTTACAATTGTATTAAAAAAACGCAAAAAATAATTATTTAATTTATTAGAATAAAATTAAATTCGATTTACTTTCGACTAGATTTGTGCACTCGGTTTTAAAACGAGAAAAATTATGAGAACTCGTTTTTAAACGAGAAATTTGCTCGGATTCGGTTTACAGAACAGACAGGAATATGTATTTCTTTGTATTTTTAAACATCAGGGCAGATGACTGGTTTGAAGTGGTTTTGTTTAGAGAAATATAGATTTTGAAAAAAAATATTTCATAAGTTTTGTACAATTTTACAATTTGGGTGTGGATGCATATGTAGGCGGAAAATCGGTTATGGGAATATTTTTTTGAAAAAAAATTTAATAATTTGAATAACATAGAACGCAAAACCATTGGAAATCAAAGGAAGCACATAAAAGTGTGTGCCGTTCATTTGGATATTTTGAAGTTTTTTTCTTTTCAGTTCTTTTATATTTGACATAATAAGGAAAAAAATTAACAGCTCTCCATACTATTCTACCTGTTAACGGTTGTATCATGAGGGATTTGAAAACTTAAACTTTAGTATGAAGCATGTTTTGTAGCTCTCAGTTCAAAAAAAAATTTTGGAGTATGCCAGTCTTGTAGTAAATGAGCAATATGATGTGCAATTTTTATTAAAATTTATTTTATTTTACTAAAAAAAACGTTAGTGCTTTTTTACCCCTTTTTAATTTTTGCGCGCGCGTTTTGCTTGACCAATGTTGGCAACACTGGAAATGTCATATACATGTCAATTCCATATTGTTCAATGTGAATTTTTTGATCCCTCTAGAACGGTGAATAAATTCGATTCTTTTTTCTTTTTGGAAATTATTAAAATAAAACCACCAAAAAAATGATGAACTTATCCAGAGTAAGTATATAAATAGAACTATTTTAATTATACTTGTAAAATAATTATTAAAAAACTTTAAAATTATATATAATTTTATTTATCTTAACATTTCCAAAAACATTACGTAAGATAGGTTATATTTTCTAAGGAACAAAAAAACTAAAGGTGCATTTTTCTTTTTATTTTAGGCCGTTGTACGCAGCTTCACCACCTCCGGTGCTCAACGCACTGTAGCTAAAGCTGAAGTCGAAAAGGGTTACTTCGAAATCAAAAAAGTTCAAGAACATTTCCAAAAGAAGGATGGCAAACCCGTCTTCTTGAAGGGTTCAGTTTTCGATCAAGTCTTGTACCGCCTTACCGTAGCCCTCAGCTTAGTCGGAATCGGTGGCATGGGCAAATTGTTCTTCGACTTGTCTGTACCCAAAACCGATTAGACGTCTGTTATCAGGCCATAAATTGTGTTTAGTATACTTAAGTAACAAACCAAAAAATATTTAGCCACCTTTATTTCCTATGTTTCTGTGTTTTTATTTCTTTAAACTGTAAGTTTATACTAGTAAATTATGTTGTGTACAAAAGTCTCTAAATATCTTATCCCTTTTTGTTTACAGAGAACCCTTACATTTTGGAAGCATTTTTAAACCAATATGTGTATAAATATTACATTGTTATGTTGGTACTTTTACATTCTTTAAAAAGCATTTAAAACATGGAAATATATGAAATTTTTAGCTAAAAATTGGATTTGTTTATTTTGTGGTAATGGGAATTTATTTCTTAATGTTTCAAGTCAAACGAAGAACTATTTCCGACAATGTCACTTACCTTGGGTAGTAAAATCTGTTATATGACGACTTTATGTGGTAGCATCAAAACATTCTATAACCTAGGTCATATACAGAAATTACCATGCTCAAACAAACTTCAAAACACTCGTCTGGTTACAAACGTTATCATTTTCTAACTCCTTTTTACCACCGTTTTGGCGAACAATGTCTTTAGAGAGTAGAAACAAATAATATACATACATTCATTATATATGATGTATATAACTTATCTTTTTAAAAATTTAGCAGGAGAGACAAAAACCTGAATAAAATGTAAACAATTATTGTTATAAAAACGAAATTTTCTTACAAGTATTATATCCCAACACCAATAAACACCTAACTATCTATTAAGTTGCTTTTTAGGACTTTCTGATTAATGGAAATGACCAATTTGTTACGCCCTTTTCAATTTCATTTCAATAAAATCGGTGTTTTTGACAATAGAGTTCTAAAAAATTTGCGGCAGGAGAATATAAGCAAAGTTTTATATTATCTGATCTGAAAGTTGTAAATTTGGCTAATATTAAACCAAATTAGTTACTGTTTTTTAATTGATAGAAGAAAATAAGGAAAATTTTTTGATCGGAAAACTGTAAATTTGGGCTAATATTATCCAAAATAGTTCCTGTTGAAAGCTACAAAATCTCTAAGACACGGTTCAATATTATAACTCTGAAAGCTTAAACCTACTATTGAAAACTTTTCTTGTTTCCTTTTTTTATTAATTTCGTAATAAAATAATTATATTAAAAAAATAGTATTAATTTTAAGCGCGATTTTTAATGTTACATTTATAAATGATAATAATATAGATTTTTGTATGCTTTATATTCAACTAAGCATAATAATTCAAATTAGCTTTCTTCTTGGCCTGTACCTCCATAATGGCATCCATGAAATCTTCATGTGTCACCTGAGTAGCTGAACGACGTAAAGCAATCATACCAGCTTCAACACAAACAGCTTTACATTGGGCACCATTGAAGTCATCAGTGGAACGAGCCAGTTCTTCGAAATTAACATCACTACTGACGTTCATTTTACGCGAATGAATTTGCATTATGCGGGCACGAGCTTCTTCGTTGGGATGTGGAAATTCAATTTTCCTATCTAAACGTCCGGAACGCAATAGTGCAGGATCTAAGATATCTACACGATTTGTGGCAGCAATAACTTTAATATCAGCTGTCGAACTGAAACCATCAAGCTGATTAAGCAATTCCAACATAGTACGTTGTACTTCACGATCACCAGCCTTCTCGGAGTCAAAACGTTTTGTACCAATAGCATCCAGTTCATCAATGAATATAATAGCTGGAGCTTTTTCTTTGGCTAAGGCGAAAGCATCTCTCACCAATTTGGCACCATCACCAATAAACATCTGCACCAATTGTGGACCAGCCAATTTTAAGAATGTGGATTTTGTTTGAGCTGCGCAAGCACGAGCTAATAATGTCTTACCGGTACCGGGAGGACCGTACAGCAAAACTCCCTTTGGAGGATGAATACCTAAATTTTTGAATTTTTCCTTGTGTGTCATGGGCAAAACAACAGCCTCAATTAATTCCTGGATTTGTTTATCCAAGCCACCAATATCGGAGTACTGTTCTGTAGGGCGTTCATCTACTTCCATGGCCTTGACACGAGCATCATATTCGGCAGGCAAAGTCTCCAAGATCAAGTAGGAATCTTTGTTGACACCAACTAAATCACCAGGTTTTAACTTTTCCGCATCTACCAGACCAATGACTGGCAAAAAGTAGGCTTGACGAGTCGATGTTTTAATAACGGCGCATTTACCTTTACGTTGATTGTCCAGCACTTGTACAGCACCATCATCTTCGTCTTCCTGGGCTTCCATATCCAAGAGTTCAATAACATTTGACACCAAATAGGGCAACGTTTTATTAACCTATAGTGGAAATACAGAATTAATCATGTACAAATCTTTCTTTGGTTTACTTACCTTAATTTTTTCAGTATTATCTTTAATTTTATCATTTTGAGCCTGTATTTCATGGGTTATACGCATAACCTCACTCTTCATTATTTTTATTTCATTGTCCATCAATCGCGTCCTGCTAACAATTTCATCCGTGGACATACGCATCACTTCTTCGCCGAGTTCATCACCATCTTCCCAAATTGATTTATCTTCCAAAGTAGCGGCCATTACTTATAAACTCTTTTGCGCAGAATTTAACAACGAAATATATTTAATTATTATTTACTTTATCAATTTTTAATAATAATAATATCTTTTAAAAATTTTGCAAACTTTTTTCTGCTTTACCGATGACTTGTAAATTTTTGTTTTGTGATGTTGTTTGACAGTTGTCGTTATCATACAACAAGAATAAAATGCCAAAAAAATACAGAGTTGTAAAAAGTTATACAGGGTTCGGTTTTTTGGTTTTGCAACAGAGTGGCAATATTTATTATACATATTCTTTTATAAAATTATACCGTATTTACACTACAGCGAAATAGAAGAGAGCAAAATTTGAAATAGGTTAGATTTCAAATCTTGCTCAAAATCTAACTCGTCAAATGTCAAAAAAGTTTTTTGACATTGGCTAGATTTCATTTTAAAAATAAATCTTGTTTAACAGCAAAAAATAGTGAAAAATATAAAATATTTATTAGTATTTTACTTATTGTACAGAATTCGGCATTTATCGAAACACTTCTCATTCATGTTTTCCGTTTTGTAGGAAATTTTCTTGAAAAATTAGTTTATTTCCATTTTTTATTTGTCTTGTTTCAATTGTCATTGTTTCTCCTGCAGCGTCGTATTTTTAGTACTATTTGGCAAAAAACAGAGCTCCATTTCTATTTTTGCTAGATTTTGAGTAGATTTTGCTAAAATCTACTAATGAAGTAGATTTTGTTTTGTATGTGAAATCTAGTAAAAATCAACTGAATTTGCTTGAAATCTCATAAGTACTAGATTTCGCTGTAGTGTAAATGGGGTATCAAATTTAAAAATTTATTCAGGGTGTATCTTTCGTATTATGTTCATGTTTGTAAAATTATACGTATATTGTTATTTACTTATTGTTATATACTCAGGATTTTTATTGCTTAGCAATACATGTAGATATATATTTTGTTGAAATTTAAGAAACCTCATCCGATTTTTGGAATAAATATGTAATACGAAAACACATTAAAAAAACTTATTTTTAATAAATGGCTAACCCTGTTTTTTTTTCGAAGAATGGCAATATAGAGCGTCAGCTGTTAAGTTTTGGCGCGAAATGTAAACAAAATTTTATTGTTTGGTAAATTTGCAAATTTTGCAAAAAGTTGTGTTTTTGAGATATTATTAATTTTTTTGCCAATTAATGTTCTTTTAAATTACAAAAAATGGAACCAAGTGGTGGTAAAAAAGTTTTACAGAATACTGGAAAATTTGTATCAGAAACAAGAGCAGAAGGGTAACTTAAATATTTAATATTTCTTGCTTCATTTGCTGAAATAAAGTTTATTTTTCTAGAGATGATTATTTTAATGAAGCTGGTTATAGGCAGTCTAGGGAAAATGATAAAATTGATTCCAAATATGGGTTTGATCGTGTTAAAGATGGCCTGGAAAGAACCGGTTACCTGATCAATATGCATACCGTAAGCAATATTCGATTTTTTATTATTTTTATGAAGTATATGAATATGGTATCCTAGTGAGCCAATCGACTCAAAATTAATGAATTTTGGGCCAGTGTCAATTTTGAATATAATTAACTTTACAAACACCGATATTGACATAAAATATAAAACCATTTATAATGGGATCCGTATAAGACGGACTTCTAACTCTTCCATCTTAAAGCAAATTCTTGTTTTTTATAGACCGAAGTTTTAGATGAAGATCGTCGCCTGGTGGCAGCTTTAGATTTATTCTTTATACAAATGGATGGTTCTCGCTTCAAATGCACCGTAGCCTATCAACCTTATTTGCTAATAAAACCGGACGAAAAACAGGCTATAGAAGTAGCGCGTTTTCTAAGTCGCAAATATTCTGGCCAATTGGTTAGCGTTGAACATATTTATAAGGAAGATTTGGATTTGCCCAATCATTTGTCTGGTCTTCAACAACAATATCTTAAATTAACTTTTCTCAATCAAACAGCTATGACTAAAGTACGTCGTGAAATCATGGCGGCAGTACGCAAAAATACCGAAAGGGAGAAATCAAATACATATTACCTGCAAATGTTGGCCTCTTCTCTAGCTGCCAATAGCGCTAGCGAAAGTGGGGATGGCAGAAAACAATTGGATTATATGGATTGCATTATGGATATAAGAGAACATGATGTACCCTACCATGTCCGCGTGTCAATAGATTTGAAAATTTTCTGCGGCCAATGGTATAATATACGATGTCGAAGTGGTGGCATGGAATTACCCATAATAACACCTCGTCCTGATATACTTGAAAGACCCGAACCGGTAGTTTTGGCTTTCGATATAGAAACCACTAAGTTACCCCTTAAATTCCCAGATGCCCAAACAGATCAAATTATGATGATTTCCTATATGATTGATGGTCAGGGTTATTTGATTACAAATCGTGAAATCATTTCCTGTGATGTTGACGATTTCGAGTATACACCCAAACCAGAGTTTGAGGGAAATTTTATCGTTTTCAATGAAGAAAATGAAATGCATTTGATACAAAAGTTCTTTGATCATGTTATGGAGGTGCGTCCTCATATTGTTGTAACCTACAACGGTGACTTTTTCGATTGGCCCTTTGTTGAGACTAGAGCGGCAGTATATGATTTGGATATGAAACAAGAGATTGGTTTTTCAAAATCAAGAGATGGCAATTATTTGTGCAGACCTTCTATACATATGGATTGTTTGTGTTGGGTAAGTCTAATTTCTTTTCAATTTTAATTGTTCTCGAGCATACATCTCCGCCGAAAAATAATAAAACATTAAGAAAAACTCATTTTATAAAATAATCATTTTGGCAAATGATATACATTTTGGCGTAAAATCTAGGGTTTTCAACTATGTATGTATATCAAATCTATTTTAAATTTTATAAAATATACATACATATGTATGTATATGCATTAAACCATGCATAAAACAAAATATTTGGCAACTAATAACATTAATGTTTTGAATTTTTTTTATTAAAACGAAAATTATTATTTTTGTCGAATTTTCTAAATAATAACAAATTTAAACTTTTATATACATTGTAGGCATCATTAAAGGTTTTTAATTAACAAAAGATGTTGTAGTTTTTTGAAAAATAGGTTCCCTGAAGTTTTTCATAATTCGAGTTTTAAATAAAATTTTGGCAAACGTTTTCTCTAAGTAAAAATTTTAAAGTTTGATGAAAATATACTTTTGGTGAAAATCTAAAATTATACACTCAAAATTAAAATTTTTAAATCGAAATTGTTTTAATGAAATTTCAACAAACATTAAATTATTTCCTGAATTTATTTTTTTTTTGCTTTCGAAAGAATTCAATATTTTGGAAAAATTTTCGGTATCATTTTCGATTGCAGTTTTATCCGAAGATATTTTTTGTAAAAGTTTTTGTTGTAGTAAGTGATATCAGTAATATTGGGTTTAATGTAAGAAATTAAAATTTTTTTGGAATTAACTAAGTGTTATTTTGAACCAAAGTATCAGTGTATTTATTTGAGGATCGCTATTCATAATTAATTTAAATAATTTTTATTTAATTAAAAAATAAATCTCCAGGTTAAACGTGATTCCTATCTACCAGTTGGTTCACAGGGTCTGAAAGCAGTTGCCAAAGCAAAGTTACGTTATGATCCTGTTGAATTAGATCCCGAAGATATGTGTAAAATGGCTGTTGAACAGCCTCAAGTGCTCTCCAACTACTCTGTTTCAGATGCCGTTGCCACATATTATTTATATATGAAATATGTACATCCTTTTATATTTGCTTTAAATACAATTATTCCTATGGAACCGGATGAAATTCTACGTAAAGGTTCTGGTACTCTATGTGAAACTTTGCTTATGGTGCAGGCGTATCATGCCAATATTGTCTATCCAAATAAACAGCAAAATGAGCTTAATAAACTGTCTAATGAGGGTCATGTTTTAGACTCGGAAACATATGTGGGTGGACACGTGGAAGCTCTTGAATCTGGGGTATTTCGGGCTGATATACCATGTCGTTTTCGTTTGGATCCTAATATGGTTCAACAACTAATGGATAATGTTGATCGTGTATTGAAACATGCCCTGGAGGTAGAAGAGGGCATACCTTTGGAGAAGGTTAACAATTTGGATGAAGTTCATAAGGAGATTTGTCAAGCTTTAAAAGGTTTACATGATATACCCAATCGCTTGGAGCAGCCTGTTATATACCATTTGGATGTGGGTGCTATGTACCCAAATATTATTTTAACCAATCGTTTGCAACCCTCCGCTATGGTCAGTGATACTGATTGTGCTGCTTGTGACTTTAATAGGCCTGGTGCCCGCTGTAAGCGCAGTATGGATTGGTTGTGGCGTGGTGAAATGTTACCAGCCTCTAGAAATGAATTTCAAAGAATACAACAGCAGTTAGAAACTGAAAAATTTCCTCCTCTATTTCCTGGTGGACCACAAAGAGCATTTCATGAACTTTCAAAGGAAGATCAGGCGGCCTACGAGAAAAAGCGTTTATCGGACTATTGCCGCAAAGCTTATAAGAAAACTAAAATTACTAAATTAGAGACAAGAAATTCAACTATTTGCCAAAAGGAAAACAGTTTTTATGTAGACACTGTGAGAGCTTTTCGTGATCGTCGTTATGAGTACAAGGGTTTAACTAAAGTTGCTAAAGCAGCAGTCAGTGCAGCTATAGCTTCAGGCGATGCCTCGGAAATTAAAGCTGCCAAGGGTCGAGAAGTCTTATACGATTCGTTGCAGTTGGCCCACAAATGTATTTTGAATTCTTTCTATGGTTATGTCATGCGTCGTGGAGCTAGATGGCATTCTATGCCTATGGCTGGTATTGTATGCTTGACAGGTTCTAATATTATTACTAAAGCTCGAGAAATCATAGAACGTGTTGGACGTCCTTTGGAATTGGATACCGATGGTATTTGGTGTATTTTACCCGGCTCATTTCCTCAAGAATTTACTGTTTTAACGTCACATGAGAAGAAAAAGAAAATTAATATTTCCTATCCGAACGCGGTTCTTAATACCATGGTTAAAGATCACTTTACTAATGATCAATATCATGAATTGGTAAAAGCCAAAGATGATTCTGGCGAACCTCCTGAATATACCATAAGAGAAGAAAATTCTATATTCTTTGAAGTAGATGGTCCTTATTTGGCCATGGTTTTGCCGGCAGCCAAAGAAGAAGGCAAAAAATTGAAGAAAAGATATGCTGTATTTAACTTTGATGGCTCTTTAGCTGAATTAAAAGGTTTTGAAGTAAAACGTCGCGGTGAATTGCAGCTTATTAAGAATTTTCAAAGTTCAGTTTTTGAGGCATTTTTGGCTGGTAACACATTGGAAGAGTGTTATGCGTCAGTCGCTAAAGTGGCCAATTACTGGCTAGATGTTTTATATAGTCGTGGTTCTAACTTGCCCGATTCAGAGTTGTTCGAGTTGATTTCGGAAAACAAATCTATGTCTAAGAAGCTGGAAGAGTATGGAGCCCAAAAGTCCACATCTATATCAACTGCTAAAAGATTAGCTGAATTTTTGGGAGAACAAATGGTTAAAGATGCCGGTTTAGCCTGTAAATATATAATCTCTCGTAAACCGGAGGGAGCACCGGTCACCGAAAGAGCTATACCTTTAGCCATTTTCCAATCAGAACCTAGTGTTCGCCGACATCATCTACGTCGATGGTTAAGAGACAATACCATGGGTGATGCGGATATACGAGATGTTTTAGATTGGAACTATTACATTGAACGTTTGGGAGGAGCTATACAAAAAATTATTACTATACCAGCTGCCTTGCAAGGCTTAACAAATCCTGTGCCCAGGGTACAGCATCCCGATTGGCTGCACAAAAAAATTTCAGAAAAAAATGATGTCTTCAAACAGCGCAGAATTAATGAAATGTTTACTTCCAGGCCAAAGCCTAAGCCAGCAATGACTTCATCGAGCAATGACAGTGAAGCGAAAGATGTGGATATAGCTGATATGGAAGATTTGGCGGGTGTAGAACAAACGACAGATGGCAGGCCTAGGGTAACTAAAAGACGTAGGGCTAACTCAGACGAAGAAGAAAATGAGCCCAGCCAACCTGAGCATACTTCATGGCGTCAAGCGTTGGGCCAACCACCACCCATTGGTACAACGCGTAAAGAAATTGTGGAATGGGTCAAGTTTCAAAAGCTTAAATGGGCTTGGCAATTGGAAAGACGTCAACGTTACAAACAGCAAAATAAAAGACAACGCAGTGATAATGCAAATGATGCCCCAGACCATAGGTCCTCCTCTAAGGGTGCCATATCTACAGCTACGTTGGGTGGATTTTTGCGCAGAGCTCAGCGTACTTTGTTAGATCAAGTATGGCAAATATTACAAATTATACCCGTTGATGATCTAGGTCACTTTACGGTGTGGGCGATGATTGGTGAAGAATTGCACAAAATCAAATTAATAGTGCCTCGTATATTCTATGTAAATCAAAGAAGTCTTGCTCCACCCGAAGAGGGCCAAATGTGGAAAAAAGTAAATCGTGTGCTGCCACGTTCTCGACCCGTTTACAACCTCTATCGGTACAGTGTTCCTGAGCAAGTTTTTAAGGACAATTGCCTGGGTATGTTGGCTGATCTTGCTACTCCCGACATTGAGGGTATTTATGAAACACAAATGTCATTGGAATTCCGAGCTCTTATGGATATGGGCTGTTTGTGTGCGGTGCAACGCGAAGAAGCCAAAAGACTAGCCGGTTTGGCTACTAAAGATTTAGAAAGCTTTAGCATAGAGCAACTAGAACAAAAATCTCAAGCCCACATAAAATACTTGCAAGGCTCTAATGCTAAACTAAGGAAAATATTCCTTTATCAACACAATATACCCACAGCCAAGAAGGAAGTGTGGTCCATTTTCCTAATGGCTAGTAAAAAAGCCATAGTTATTGCTTTAGATACGGTGCGCACAAATCAAATGCCCAACATGAAAAATCTATATACCGCCGAAAGATTAGCTTTGATAAAGAATCTACAAAATCCCGAAGATGCCGAAAAAATACCGCCAGAAGATTTTACATTTGAAATATTCATAGAAGTAGATATGAAACAAGTATATCGCCATATACAAAAGGCATTGTCCACCTATAAGGAAGAAAAGCGCGGACCAACAATAATTTGTATGCAAACGGCTATAGAAGCGCGTAAACTAAGTAATAACATGCCAATTTTGCTGGATTTTCCACAAGCCCAAATCCATATATCCGATGATGCATCTCTACTCTCGGGGTTAGATTGGCAACGCCAAGGATGTCGTGCATTGGTGCGTCACTTTTTAAATTTGAACAATGTAGTGGAGTTGATGTTAGATCAGTGTCGTTATTTCCATGTTCCCTTGGGAAATATGCCTCCAGATACGGTGCTGTTTGGAGCTGATCTCTTTTTTGCTAGATTATTACAAAAACACAACTTTGTGTTATGGTGGTCTGCTACCACTCGTCCCGATTTGGGTGGCCGAGAAGCGGATGACAGCAGATTATTGGCCGAATTTGAAGACAGTATTACAGTAGTACAAAATCAATCCGGATTTTATCCTGATGTTTGTGTAGAACTAGCCTTGGACAGTTTGGCAGTATCTGCTCTCTTGCAGTCGACAAAGATTCAAGAATTAGAGGGTGCATCTTCGGCCATAACATTTGATGTAATACCACAGGCATCTCTTGAGGAAATGATAGGTACGGTACCGGCAGCCACTCTACCAAGTTATGATGAGACAGCCCTTTGTTCGGCAGCATTTCGAGTTATGCGTTCCATGGTTAATGGCTGGTTAAGAGAGGTGTCAATTAATCGAAACATTTTTTCCGATTTTCAAATTGTGCACTTCTATCGTTGGGTTAGGTCCAGCAATGCCTTGCTTTATGATCCCGCCTTACGGAGATCTCTTAATAACCTGATGAGAAAAATGTTTTTAAGAATTGTAGCAGAATTCAAACGTTTAGGCGCCAGCATTATATATGCCGATTTTAATCGCATCATATTGTCCTCGGGGAAAAAATCTGTAGCTGATGCCTTGGCTTACGTGGATTATGTGGTGCAATCCTTAAGAAATAAAGAAATGTTTCATTCTATACAATTGTCGTTCGAACAGTGTTGGGACTTTATGTTATGGTTAGATCATGCCAATTATTCAGGCATAAGAGGCCGTTTACCCAAAGGCATAGATGAAACCACACTTGGTGATGTTACAGCAGCTGCTTTAGCGGCTCAATCTGAAGACCGTTTAAGAAATAGCGAATCTCAAAATTCCGATAATGAAGATTCTGACAATGATGTCGAAGAAGTGCCACGAGCTCCTGAAGACGAAGAAAACGCAGAAGAGGAAGAACAATTGTCGCTTGAATTAAATTGGACCATCAGTGAACATTTGCCGGAGGAAAATGAATGCCGTGAAAAATTCGAAGCTCTTTTGACATTGTTTATGCAATCTTTAGCCGAACGTAAAACTACTCAGCAGGCCATTAAAGATATTTCGCATGCTGCTTTTGATTTTATTATAAAATTGCATAAAAACTATGGTAAAGGTAAACATAGCCCGGGTTTGGATTTGATACGTACTCTTATTAAGGTGCTGAGCGTTGATAAAGGCTTGCTGGAGGACATAAATGAATTGCGCCGCAATATGTTGCGTTTGGTGGGTGTTGGTGAGTTTTCCGACTTGGCTGAATGGAAAGATCCCTGCGATAGTTATACCATATCCGAGGTCATATGTAAGGCGTGTAATCATTGTCGGGATTTGGATTTATGCAAAGATAAACATCGTGCTATGAAGGATGGAATGTAAGTATTATGTTTTGTTATGTGCGCTTGTAAGAGTTTTTTTTTTAATTTTGTCGAGTATTGGTCGGATAAGTGAAAAGAAAGATAAAAAATTGATTCAAATCGGTTATTCCTAACTTATTTAGTATTCCCGAATTTCATTTGATTAAAATTCTAAACCACAAAAATCACGAATCTGACTAGTATTCCAAATGTTTGCGTTCCGGTCGCAATTATTGTTATAACATTTTAAATTTTTTACAGACCCGTCTGGTTGTGTGCCCAATGTTTTGTGGCCTATGACAATGAAGAAATTGAGATGCGTATTATAGATGTGGTGCAAAGGAAACTGATGTCTTATGTTTTACAAGATTTACGCTGCACACGGTGTAATGAAATAAAAAGGGAAAATTTGGCACAATTTTGTACATGTGCTGGTGAGTTCGTGCCGCTTATATCGGGCAGAGAAATCGATCAATTACTAAGAACTTTCCGCAAAGTGGCAGAATACCATAAAATGGATTTGCTTCAAGAAACAGTACATCAAATTATAACTACAAAATAAGATAATTAAAATCATAATAAAACCTGTAAATAAATATAGAGTTTCATTTGTTTTTATTATATATCATCCAATTGATTTTATTTTAAAAATTTTTCGAAATGATAAAACAAAAACGGATCTTTTGAACTGAACTTGTTAGAAGTTAAATGATTTTTAAAATCATTACTATTAGAGTCAGCTCAATTCAATTGTTTCTCCTCCACATTTTGTATTAACGAGTTTACAACACAGTTGGAATTTATGTTTTCTTTAAATGACATTTGTAATTAAAATCTAAGCGGTTGAAGTGATGGGATCAACTTTTACTTCGGGAAATTTGAAGTCAGGGAATTTGGTCATATCAGTTTTGCCATCACTGCCGTATTGCTTGGCAACACGTTCCAATTCATTTTTCATTTCCTTCTCAATTTCGGGGGTAGGATCAACCATTTTGCCACCACTGCAATGAGAAAATTATGGTATTTAAAAGATTCCTTTATGATTAATCTATTTAATTAATAAACTTACGCGCTTTTTTGTTTGTATTCACGTACTTTGTCCAAGAAAATTTGTTGAATGGGATCGGAGGCCTTGCTCATGGCTGGGGCAATGATACCAATGCTACGGCGGGCTTCAACACGCAAGACGCGTACACCATTCAAAATAGTTTGAGACAACATCTAGATATAACAATAAAAATATTAGAATTACTTTTTCTGTCAAGATTTTCATTTTTTTGCCTAATTTTCGGTAACCTTAAAAACATTAAAGGTTATGTAATGATTTTTAACTTGAATTTTTCACAACAAAAACACGGTATTTTTAGGAAATTTTTATATCAGCGATTTTAACATTTTAATTTTTATTTATTGGATTTATTATAAAATTACCTTTTTATATTATGGTTTCGTTTAATTCCTTTAATAGAATATGAAAAAACGAATTGCTGAAAGCTCACTTGCACAAGTATATTTTTTTGCACTGTCAAATTTGACAAGTCGTTTTGTCAGCAAAATGAAGAGTTGCCAGACGCTTTTCTATTAGTAGTGAAGTTGGCTGCAGTTCATTGAATATAATCCGTTATTTTTTATATGTTCACAAATTGAAATTGTAATCTATTTGTGTTTAATTTCGAGCTTAACTGTTTAGCAACGATTAGATTGTATTATTTAATAGATAAAGTCATGGATTTAATATCGGAATGACTTTAAATGATCAAAAAACGATTAGAAATCATAATAGCTTTTTACTTTATAGAAATAAATAATAATGATCAAAAAAACTATAATTATATTTGGTAATTGGCCTCTGGTAGATTAATGGTTAGTGTTCTAATGTGATACTGGTACTGGTAAAGGAGCCTAGGATAGAGGATAGAGCCTAGGAGTATTTCTTCGGATTTGATGTATATAGGTACATCTTCCTTTTTAACTAACTACTTTATTAAACTGAAAAAATATTTTCTTCTAATTGCTTTCTAATTATAAAGTTTTTTAAATGACCTAGTGTTTCTTTGGCCAAAATTAACCCTTAATAAAAAAATCGTGATCTAATAATAACTGTTACATCAAAAATGGATTTTAATGTGATTTTTTATAAAAATTTTTATTGAAATAATGTTTTAATGGGGAAATTGCAAAAATGGCTATTAATAATTTTATATGACAATATTGAATTTTTTATATAATTAAAAAAAAAAAAAATATTCTATTGAGAAAATAAATAAAATCTGCAAAAATTAATTATAAGAAACATTTAATGGTTTTTAAAATAGATTCTTTAGAAATAAGAAATTAGTTGGACTTTGTAATTACTGATATTTTCCATTTTTCATAAGAAAAAAATAAAAATCTGCGATCACTGAAATCGATATTTAAATGAAAGATCTAAAACCGCCTGTCAATTCTTAAGTAAAGCTTCAATAATGAAAATATCTGAAATCTTCACTCATATTATTCCTTAAAAATTAAAACCTAACGTAGACTGTAGATCCCTCAATAATTATAAAATTCTGTGATCACATGATTTTTCTCATCAAAAATTTATTTTTATATTTATTTTATGAAAATCCTAAGAACGGGTTTTTGAGTTGGCAATCAAATGGCAATTAATATGTAATTAGATTAGTTAATCTAAAAATAAATTTAATCCAATGTTAATACCATTTGATGTTTTTGAGTACAAGATTAAACTTCGCAGTGTTGCCATACAAAACAACAGAAAACTTCACTGTTTGTTATCAAAACAATGCATATTTTATAAAAAAGAAGAAGACAATTGTAAATTTAATATGAAAATTAATGAAAACTTAAATTAAAAACAAAAAAATGTATTTTGAAGTGTCCATAATTTATACTAATCAAAAAAAAGAACATTTTAATGTTTATATTTATAAAAATTGTATTAATTTTTTTGCATCAGCTGTTTACACTTTTGCATTTCGTGCTTAAGATTAAACCACCTCCATTGGGCGCTTAAACTTGCAAACAAAATTAACTAATTGAGTACTCAAAAACATCTTTCGAGGATTAATTTTAATTTAATCGCTAAATGGCCCTAAATGGACTACAAATCCTTAAATAACGCTCATACTGCTAAATTTTACTTTCATATGAAAATACTAAAATATTCATAAATAACAATTTGAGTTAATAGCTAAATCATGAACTCACAATTTCAATCAAAAGTCGATGCTATTGATAAGCAATACGTTCAAATTACACAAACTTTTTGATGCTCTTTCGTTTTTTTTTTGATCCTCAGTTTAAGAATAAAAACACAATCATTAAATTAATTTTATGTATTTTTTTATTTATTTATTTAAACTCGAAAAAATGTTTATATCTTTTAGCCTAATCGCAAATGTAATGTTTTCAATTCTCCAAAAAATAAAACAAAATAATTTATATTCCTTAACTCACACATTCACAATCAAAAAATTCCTGTAACTTTTTATAATTCAGTATTTTCTTTTATTTTTTTATACTTTGTCAACTTCTGTTTGTTTTTATTTTATTTATTTATTTATTTTTTTTGGATTTTAATGTTTTAATGAATATTGCAAATATTTAACTTGAATTGTAAATATACACTTGTGAAAAGTTTTCACTAAATGTTATTATATGCTTTTAGTAAATATATATATTTTTTTTTGTTTAAATTTCAATGCGTTTTTTTTGTTCTTTTAATTAATATCATATTTTTCCATTCCTTTAAGTATTTAGTTGCTTGAATGTTAACAATATCGTTTTTAACATTTTTTTTCTTTAATATTTTGGTTAATACATATTAAGTTTTATAAATATTTTGTATATTGTAATGTGTACGTGTAGTGTCTACTTTCAAAAATTGTTAATCTGCTTTGGTTTCAAATTATAATTTACGTATTTTATTTTATAGCTCTAAATAATGTATCTTTGTTTTTAATAAACTTAAAAAGATTTAATATAGAGTTACATATATTTCAAATATATTTTGTTAGTCATCTAATTGGTTTATTTCATTTCTCCTTAAGTACTAAGTTGAAATTTTTTTAGATCATTTTCGATATAATAGGGCGTTAGCCCCTATACAAAGTTCTCTTCAGAAAATTGCTCCAACATATTCATTTATAAACATGATTAAATTTGTCATAAAATTTCCGAATTCGAAATGTAAAATTTCAATGTCATTTGAGATTTTCTGAGATTCAAATGAATTCCTAATGAGAACAATTAATATTTGTTATTTTCCATTTTCAAATTATCACTATCAATTGATTTTTTTTTCTTAAAAACAAGAAAAAAATGTATTATCAATTGAGCTTATCGGAATTACTATTGAAAATTGTTTAGTTTTTACTACAACGAAAAATTTTGGAAATTTCAAAATCTAAAAGTTTTAACAGGTTTAACAACTGCAAAAACTAATCGAATAATGAACGTCATAACAAGTTTCAATATATACTTATCTGTATTTTAGGTTTTCATAAACCGATTTGCATTTAGAAAATAGAATTTTTATCTTCAATAAATCATAAAAAAATGTTTTACAACATATTTTCCATTATAGTTTATCTCCTGTTTTCGTCATGTCTTCATATTTTTATCGTAACGATAACTTCATCTTCTCGATAAACTATAACCGGAGATTGTGATAGTGGATCTATGAGTGCTTAATTTTTTTTCTTTATAAAAGAGTCTATAGTTTGGTTTGTGTCTTATAAGTAGTTTAAAATTGGTCACAAGGAATTACTTTAGTTTTTAGAAAATCATAAAAAGTTTAAACAATTTTTAAATCAAATTTATTAAGAAAAGTTAAAATATAAAATATTATGTTTTTTTGTACAACAAATACCAAAGTAAAATGAGAATTTTAAAATCAAATAAAAACGCTTTTTACAGGTTTGGAAAAAATCAATTTCTCGGTATGTTAGCTTCCATAACACTGGTCGACGACTTTTATTCCAGAGCCAAAAAAATAAATAATGGTCCGATTATGTATCTCGCTTACCACTTCAGTTGCGTTGCTAGTTGCCAAAATGATGTGGATACTGAACGTTTTTAAAGCAATAGCTTGGAAACTTTATAAATAATAAATGATTTATTCATTAATAATATTTGTCCAATGAGTTTTTGGATGACTTAAACCATTTATATACTGAAATTATTATCATATTTTTATCATCAACTGAAGTTCGGTTGCCATACCTAATCGACTCATACATTTCTCGGTATGTTAGCTTATGGATCCATTCCATAACACGGATGCGTTGAATCCCAATCCGTTCTCTGAATTTCTTCATCACATCAGGGATTCGAGATATCGTGTCCTAAAGTTTGAAACAATATTGAAAACCATCTGTGTAAGTCCATTCTGTCAACTTTAAAATAAAGGCTTAACATCTTCTTCGCTCAATCTTTTAGAAAAGTTTATAGGCCTGTTGTATTAATTTTAAATATTAATTGTACGTTCTCTGAATTTCTTCGCCACATCTGGATTCGAGATATCGTGTCCTAAAGTTTGAAACAATATTGTGAAACCATCTGTGTAAGTCCATTCTGTCAACTTTAAAATAAAGTCTTAACATCTTCTTCGCTCA